GGAAGGAAGCTGAAAGGTGAAGGTGCTGAGCACCTGCAAGGGGAAAGGGGCACGCTAAGATAGAGGGGTGGTTAAGGGGCACGCTGGCGGGGGGTGATAGGGGGGTAGTGATTCAGGGGCACGGGGGCACGGGGAGGCGAAGGGCAGCACACTCACTGTCTCCTCGGCTTCTGGACTCCGGGACTTGCGTTCCCGGCAACTAGCTCCCCCGGCCCAAGGCTCCTGAGGCCCCGCCCCCGCGACAGGCAGGCCTGACCTCCCGCGGGGCGGGCTTCCCGAGCTTGAGCAGGTAGGTGGTACCAGCCCGCCCACCCCGTGAGGCAGGAACCTGCCGCCGCTTCCAGCAGCTTCCAGCACAGGCTGACCGCCCGACCTCACCTCGCGTTCTGGCCCTTCTGGGCCCAGTTAGTCTTTCCAACCGGAAAGAGGAGATTGCTATTAACTAGTATCTTCCTTTATTGCTCCGCTGTGATTTTCGTGTTGTAAACCTCCTATGCGGACTTAAATGAACACCCATATGATTTTTGCCCCTGTGGGGAATGGAAATCACCTATTCTCAATCTTTTTTTTTTTTTTAACTGAAGTCTAGTTGACGTACAATGTTATGATGTAAGTTTCAGGTGTACAATTTAGTGATCCCACAATTCCCCAAGTTACACACTACTCACCACAAGCGTAGCCAACATCTGTCACCAGTTATTAAAATACTATTGACTGTTTGCCCTATCCTGTACTTTTCATCCCCATGGCTTACTCATTCTACAGCTGTAAAATGTTTGTACCTCTTAATCCCCTTCACCTATTTTGCCCATTTTTTTTTTTAGATCCTACATATAAAAGGATTATATGGTATTTATCTTACTCTGCCTGACTTATTTCACTTGGCATAATACCCCCTGGGTCCCCATCATGTTGTTGCAAATAACAAGATCTCATTCCGTTTTATGGTTGCATACTTCATTATATATACATACACACGTATATACGTATATATACACATATACATGCGTGTCTATCTTTTCTTCATCCATTCATTGATGGACCTTAGATTGCTTCCATACTTTGGCTATTATACATAATGCTTCAGTAAACATAGGGGTACACGCGTCTTCTCAAAAATTAGTTTTCATTTCCTTTGGGTAAATACCCAGCAGTGGCATTACTAGATTACATGGTATTTCTATTTTTAATTTTTTGAGGAACTCCCATACTATTTTCCACAGTGGCTGCACCAATTTACATTCCCACCAACATTGCATGAGGGTTTCCTTCTCTCCACATCCTTGCCCGCACTTGTCATTTCTTGTTCTTTTGATATTAGTCATTCTGACTGGTGTGAGATAGTGTCTCCTTGTGTTGGTTTTTTTATGTATATATTTTTTAATGTTTATTTGTTCTTGAGCGATAGAGATGGTGTGAGCAGGGGAGGGACAGAGAGAGAGAGGGAGACACAGAATCCAAAGCAGGTTCCAGGCTCTGAGCTGTCAGCACAGAGCCTGATGCAGGGCTTGAACCCACAAGCCACGAGATCATGACCTGAGTCGAAGTCAGATGCTTAACTGACTGAGCCACCCAGGTGCCCCTCATTTTGGTTTTGATTTGCATTTCCCCAATGATGCGTCAGGATGAGCACCTTTTCATGTGTCTGTTGGCCATCTGTATGCTTTCTTTGGAGAAACATCTGTTCAGGTACTCTGCCCATTTTTTACACAGATTATTCTCAATCTATTTTGAAAGTCAGGTTTATTGAGATATAATTTACATTCAGTAAAATTCAACTTTCTCTAGCATACAGTTCTGTGAGTTCTGACATACACATGACAATCAAGACTCTCACACCCAAGACTTTTTTAAAATACTTATTTATTTTGAGAGAGAGAGAGAGAGTGTGTGAATATGCAAGTGTGGGAGCGGCAAAGAGGGAGGATCCCAAGCAGGCTGCATGCTCTCAGCGCAGAGCCCGACGAGGGGCTTGATCTCATGAACTGTGAGATCATGACCTGAGCTGAAAACAAGAGTCAGATGCTTAACCGAGACAGACACCCAGGCACCCCTCACCCCAAAAATATCTTTGTGCCCCTTTGTAGTAAATCCCCTCCCCTCCCCACCAGCTCCTAAACAACCACAATTGTTTTCTCCCTCCTTTTCCAGAACGCCATGGAATCATCATGTACGTAGCAGTTCTGTTTTGTATTATATTTAGGAAAACAACTTTTCTAAGTGCATTTTAACCTCTAGTCATTTTTAGTCAATGCACTTGTGTTTCCCCAGTATTGTTATTCCATCCTGAAGAAAGTTTTTTCTTCCTCCCCTATATTGAACAACAATGAGTTTGAACTGCGTGGTCCACCTCTATGTAGATTTTCTTGTTAAGTACAGTATGTAAACGTATTTTCTCTCTTGCAGTTTTTTTTTAATGTTTATTTTTGAGAGCAGGTGGAGGGGCAGAGAGAGAGTGGGACAAAGGATCCGAAGCAGGCTCTGTGCCGAGAGCAGAGAGCCCGATGCAGGGCTCAAAGTCAAGAACCATGAGATCATGACTTGAGCCGAAGTCAGACACTTAACTGATTAAGCCACCCAGGCACCACTCTCTTGTAACTTTCTTAATAACATCTTTTTTCTCTAGCTTACTTCATTGTAAATACAGTATATAATACATATAACATATAAAATACGTGGTAATTGTTTACATTATTGATGAGGCTTCTGGTCAATAGTAGGCTATTAGTAGTTAAGTTTTTGGGGAGTCAAAAGTTACATGCAGATTTTCTACTGTGCAGGTCTCGGCACCCCAACCATCATGTTGTGCAAGGTATTCGTCTATCTTACCTCCTTTTGTGGTTGTAACAAGCATTTCTATTCATTAGGATAGTAAGGAGATACAGAGATCTAAATCGAACATTTACCATGTTATACTCATTTTTCAATCTCATCTGCTAATAAGTCTCCCTGATGTCAATTAGTTGTTGTTAAATATTAATAGGAAAGTGTTGTATTTTGACATTTTAACAAATTAAACCCATGAAAATGATCCTCGTTGGAATATTTTTATAGCTTAGAATATTTCCAACTATTAAGTGTGTAAAAATGAGTGTTTCTATAGGTGTCAGTTTCTTGGCACTCATGTAATGGTAAAAACACTCAAATATTAGTTTTCAATATACGGTCTCCATAAAATGAGCCCCTTTAGGGAAAGCAGTCGCTTTCTCACTCATTGTTAAAATGCCCTCTTTATCTTGAAGGAACAGATTAATGGGAGTTGAGGAAAGGGCTTTACCATTTTCCACTTGTTCACTCATGGTACTTTAATGTATTATCTTCAACTTATGGTTATTTACAAGAATCATCTGATAAACCTTAAATCCACTTCACCACACACAGATAAATCACAAGAAAGCAAACCGCCATCAACTTAAATTGGGTTATTCCCAATTTTCCCTCAGGTATCCAGGGTGCAGCACTGATTTGGGACCAGAGTGCTTGCAGCCATAGTTCATTCTGATTGGTCAGGGCATCAGCCACAGTTCTTTTTTGTTTGTTTTTTAATATCACCCCTGCTAAATAACAGGCCTGCTGTGTAGATCAGTATGTTATGGAGATGAAATCAGACCTCTCATATCAAGCCGTATTTTAAATATTAGCAAAAGCTAAGCTTCTTAAGATAAAAAGTAAACATACATAGACATTTTTGTATTTTCTTCCCTTGCCTCCAAGGACGGCCTTGCACATACCTCCACATACCCCACCTTGGAAGTTACTGGTCTGACAATTACAGAATGGTCCAGAGAGGCAGATTTTCAAAATGGCCAGCATACCTCAGTAAAGGGTTCCCCAAAATTGGATGTTTACTTGCTAGAAATGCAACTGCAGGGGTAAATGGTAAATTACTTCCAACATGCTTTCCTTTGTATTATGTTAAATACTAGAAATGAAAAGTAGCTTGTTTCTATTTATAAGGAAAGTAGCAGATGATAGAGCTAGACTAGTACTCAAAAGGCCT